AAAACTCATCTTATATGGTTTGATCGTTTAATTCTTAATAATATATGACATTTTCGTTGATTTTTAACTTCTTTTCCTTTATATATATATATATATATATATATATATATATATATATATATATATATATATATATATATCTCTCTCTCTCTCTCTCTCTCTCTCTCTCTCTCTCTCTCTCTTTAACTCATGCAAATGGAATTTTGCCCAATCACACGGTAGAACATTTTTTTCTCTTCAAATCTGAATTGAATTGATCATTAGTAACATCAATCAATAGAGATTCTGCACTAAAATGATTCAAAGATTTAAAGTACTAAATTATGGGTCAAACTCATCTTATGTTATGAGATTCTTGGAATACCTAGCAACACAATATTATTATTTAATTCATCTTTAATTTTATCTCACAGGTATGAATATTTTTAATACTTTAATATGATTATTTGATGAGAAAAAAATAAAAATATGACATAAATTAAAGTAAAATAACAAACCTACTTTAAAATCTCTATCATTGACATAAACAAAAGTGATCCAAATTCTATAGTTATTGAAGCCACTAATCTCCCCCCCAATAAATGATCTCCTCACTCAACAACACTCAACACTCTAATCCATATCATCTTTACAAATTCCATTCTAAATCGATTGCTTTTCTTTCTTGTTTTTGCCTAAGCTTTGTCGATAACACATACTATCAAACATAATTCTACTGCACACCGAGCTTTATGTTAATTGGAAGGACAAGAAGCAAGAGAATGAAGAGAAAGAGGAACCAAAGTTTGATTAGAGGTCTCCTCAATCAATATGACAAGTCTTAATCGATCGATTGGTGGGAACGTTCAACATCAATTTGGACTCGTAGTTGTGTATCTTTTTGCATCCATATTAAATGATGAGTTTATTTTTCTATGATATCATCAAAAAGAAAATTGATGAGAGTTTCGCACATTGGGATACTCTTTTGGTAATAATTGCACGGACGACAAAATGATGTATTCTTTTTCCATATCTTTTTGAAGAGCCAATAAGAAGCCATCTCTAATTAATTATATGCATGTGCAAATCATGGAACAACAAAGTTTGAGAGAGAGGAAGAGGGTGGGTTGAGCTTCCACATTTCATTAGGCAAAGATCAAAAAGACAACCCCACACAAATATATATATATAGAGATAGAGAGAGAGAGAGAAGAAGACATGACTTTGCCACACCAAACATGATATCATAATGTTCACCACAGAAGCAAGTAGTGGAACATGATTCATTCACATTATCTCACTGTGGATGGCTAATTAAGATATTTGGAACCACTTACAAGGGTTAATGATAGATTAGGGGATTGGTATGACTTGATCCCTTCGTAAGCATGATGCTTAATTTATCGGATGTGAATTTATCTTAAATATAATTTAAGTTTTTCAACTATTCAGAATCGAAACTAACATAATTTTGAGGACATTTAATTTTCATTCCCATACTATTAAATCTATACTATTATTAATCATTCAACACATCACTTGATAACTCTATAAAATCCAAACTTAATTTAAAAATCATTAACAACCACTTATAAACTTATAAATTCAATGGACACAATAATCATAAATCAATAATTTATCATAAGTTTATATCAATATAAAAACTTCATATTTGAAAATCTTATTTTTAAAACATGAAAGGTCATTTAATATTTACAATAACACATCTCAACTTATACTTTCGGATAACATTATAAGCAATATGTTCTTTACAATAATATCTTACTAAACCATCAAAAACATTCTACAAACATTCTATTGCCCACCCAAAATTCACATTGAGTGTAAGTGACAAGTTAACAAGAAAAATTTATATAGTAATAATATTTGCTACAAAGCTAATATAGAGATGCAAATTATATGATACAAGGTTTAAGATATGAGGCATAGATTCAAGAGTCATACTTAGCATTTCATATAATTCATACTTAATAAAGAGTAAAGAGTAATATATAAGCAAATCGAGATAAAAAAATATGAGCTCAAGAGTCATTTTTATAGTTTCATTTAATTTCATTAATATCAAAGGAGCATATAGCAACATATGATTAGATTAAAGTCAAAATATAAAGCATGATCTCAAGTGTCACATTTGATATTTCATTTGATTCAGTGTTAACAAAGGAACAAATGATGATACGAGTATAGCAAGATCAAAATACAAAGCATGATATCAAAAGTAGAGTCATAATTATAATTTTATTTGATTCTATTGATATCAAAGGAATATATAATAACATAACGCATGAGCTTAAGAAACATATAAAAAAAGCATATTACATATGAGAGAACCAATATTATAATACATGAGCTCAAGAGTAGAATCATATTTGATATTTCATTCAATTCATTAATAACAAGAGAGTAAAAAGTATCTTATATGCAAGTCAAAGATTCAAAGGCACGAGCTTAAGTGATATATTTGATATTTTATTTAATTCATTAAAAATAAAAGAAAAAAAGTGACATATTTCTAAATCAATATAAAAATATAAGACAATAAACTATCAAAAAAAAATATAGCAATACAAAAGCATATCTTTTGGAATCATATCAAACGAGAGCTTAGATGTCTAGTAGAATCATAAAATAATATAATTTATATTTCTATTTGTCCACTAGTCTAAAGCTAGTTATGGCTTTACAATATAATAGAATTTCTTTTTCATTTCTGCCAAAGAGTTTCTAATATCCCACAAACATTGGAGTATAAAATAAATATTTTAATAAAAAAAGTAAGATAATATCAAAAGCATATATAAAACATCAAAAATATATATGTGCATGCAAGAGCAATATTAAAAGTAACTTAAGCATATGCATAATTTATTTAACTATATTCAAGAACAATGAGTAAAAATATATAAGAGTTTAATAAGCAATAATCTTAGAGGATTTTAGCTAAAATTAAGTTCCAAAAATAGAAATAAGATTTAGTAAATTTGAGAATCAATTTGTTCAAACAAAATATATAAGGTAAGTTACACAAGATGTTCAGATAATTAATTATGCTCTAATTTATTTAAATAATATATTGTTAGGAAGATTAATGAGTCTACTCTCAAATAAAATAAGTTTTGCATAGATTATAATTATTTAAAAAAAAAAGATACAAGTAATTTAATGTAGATAAGTTAAAATATATCCTCTCTATATAGCAAAATTCAAGAGTTTAAAGGAAATAATCATTTGGATAGTCGTTGATATTTCAAATCATTCAAATAAATATTAAAAGGAAGATATAAGAGTTTAATTTACTTGATTTAGAGTCTTGTACAAAACATTATAATTAAAACAAGATAGATAAGTTAGATCATTTTATCTCTATTTAATATAATTTAAGGGATTAATTGAAATAAATATTTGGATATATTTTAAATTATTCATATAAGATATTGGCAGAAAGATATGAGAGTATAGTTTTTAAGAAAAGAGAGTTTGCTTAATTTCAAATTGTGTACCAAAATTTATAGTTTAAAAAAGATAAATAGGTCAAAATTCTTAAAATTTTAGCATTAGTAAGTTTACAACTCAATGGAGGTTGATGCTATAGCTAAAGCTTTACTAATTATTCATTACTAAGAAGAAATCAAAGATACAAAAATACTATAAGATGGGATAGAACACTTGCCTTAAAAGCTAATTACAAAAATGTTGAATTAGTCCAAATTTCTCTAACAAAGCAAGAAGACTTTAATTCTTTTTCGTTTCTTCCTTTTCTTTCATTAAAGGTTGGCAAGCTTCTAGCTTGATAATTTTTTTTACTTTTATTATAATTAGATAACATAAAAAGTTATAATGTGACAACCATGCAACAAAGAGATATTTGTGTCAACAATTTATCCAGCATAGGTGGCACACACATATTTGTGTCAAACACATGTCACTTTTTACTTTTTTTTTGTTTTCTTTTCATGTTTTTCTCTTTCACTAACTTAACATAAAAAATTTTACAAATCATATCTAAATTCCAGGATTCACACATTAATCCTTCAATATAAAATTAGTTAATATAATTAATTATAAATAAAAGTTCACATTAAAATAATAAAAAATTATCATATAAAAAATAATTTAAAAATTAAAAAAAATTACATATGCTTCTAATAAAATCCCTCAAATACTCATGTTAATCAAATAGATCTCTAAGTGGATAATAGAGAGGAGAGAGAACTTGGTCATGGTTAAAAGAACCCTTATGTATAGTTCAAAGTTACAATTTGTTTTTTATTATGAAAATATTATCTAAATCAATTCTGTCATGAGAATATTTTTTTATCATAATTTGTGATGATTTGACATGTCATTTTATCATTTTTATCGTATCAATCAATGGGGCAAAGAATAAAAACAAATCCCTTATATTTATATTATTATAATTTTTTTCTTCAGCAATAATCACCTTTCCCTCTTCATTCTACTCAACGAATGGATATCAATGTATGTTAATGTTCGGAAAGGGTCAAGCTTTAGCTTGAGTCTGATGTAATTAGATTAGATTAACAGTAGAGTAAAGTGGATCATAAAGGATAACCATATTCTTTTTACAAATGAAACAGGCATTGTGGTACATTGCACCTTCCAACCCTAATTGAAATATTTAAGTTAGTTAATACATTCTTATTACATAAATGATAGGTCTCATATTTGAGCATCAAATTTTTAATATCTACATTATTATATTCCTATTGTCATCAGTGAAGATTGGATCGATAATGGTCAATGTAAGAGGAAAAAAAATTCTTATATTTTATGGTCCAATTATTTTGACCTATAAGAAATTAAATTTTTTTACTAAGTATAATAAATTATAATTTCAGTGACTCTATTTTTCTGTCTCTATTTTATCTCTCTAAAAAGAATCTTCTCCCTAGTCATAAAAAAAGTTTAATTTAATATTCTAATAATTTTAAATGTCTTTATGTCCATTGCTTTCTTCATGTTTCATGAATCATATGCAAGTTTTTTCTTTGTCCCAACGAATTATATTTTTTTCATTTGAAGCCTATGCACTGTGGCCTTCTAACATTTAATAACTTGAAGGGATTGGGTGATGCAAACACAAGTGTAATAATGACCCCATCTCATCGTAGGTTTTTGCAATCATTGAAAGTCTCTCCGAATTGACTTTTTGTTTTAATTCACACCGCGTTGACTTTTTTGTTGAACCCATTTTACCTGATTTTAATTAATATATTTATTTTGAAAAATAGAAAATCTTGCCATGAGATTAGATGATTGGGTCATTGTTATGATAACCTACCATATGTTGTTTAATTAAAAATATTTTAACTAATTTTAAAATTATATATAGTAAAATATATATATATATAAATAACAATATCAATTAAACATTGATATTAATTGCACTAAACTTGATTGGTTTTAATTTATTCCTCACAACAACCTTAGTTCCTTGATTGACATCAATAATCTCTTAAATAAATAATTTAAAATATTTAAGTAATATTTTATTATATAATAAATAATTACAATATTTTATTATATATTTTTCAACACATCCGATCCAATAATTAAATCAGACAGATTAATGATCTAATTCTCAATTTTCTGATTCAGTAAACATGATTGTAAGTGTTTGTTTGGCACATCATTCTAACATATGAGTTTGTGTGGACAAGTCAGAGAAAATTTTGTGATTTTGTGATTCTTCAATTGCAATTAACTTGGAAAACAATACTCTCGAGGTTTTGTAGCCTATATATATATATATATATATATATATATATATATATATCACGAAAAGATGAGGAAAAGCAAGGATTGTTCTCAAAGCAAATGTAAGAAAGCAGAATCCAAAAGAGCTCTCTCTACAGAGATTAAACAAATGGGACTATAAAGAGATCACTGAGCTGACTTCCGTCTTCGAAGCAATATCAGAAGCAGAGATCCAAGAAAGCAACATGGCATCATTTCGTCGCTCACCGGCCGTCTGCGGAGGTGAAGGACTCCGCGAACCCCGACGGCCTCGCCGGGATGCTGATCTTGCTGCAGTCAACGCTCAAAGAAACGACGCCCGAAGCAGCGCCGTCCGCCGCCTGCCACCCCTGCACCATCTGGAGAAGCGGCTGGTCGAGGTCGATCCCCAGGTAGTCATCCGGCTCGTCCCCATCGACGGGGCTCCATTTCTCCACCAGCGGCGCCAGCACGTTCACCGCGTGCCCCATGTCCGGCCGCTGGTGTGGGTCCCGAGCGGTGCAGTGCCCCGCCAGCTCCGCCATGACGCAGATGCTCTCCAGGGTCTCCTCCGTCACCGCCAGCGACGGGTCCACGATGCTCTCGAGCTTCTCTCTCGTGTTCTTCATCTTGCCGAACCAGAAGGCCAAGTAGCGGCTCTCGTCCGGGCGGTCCTCGTCCAGTGCCTTTAAACCGGTCAGTAGCTCCATCAACACCACCCCGAAGCTGAAGACGTCGACCTTCGTCGTTACCTTCCCTGTCACTGATTCAACCATCGATTGCTGAGTTGGTAACCTGCAAAGATAAAAGATGGAGAAACATTGCAGAAGACAGACACTTACCAGCATATTCTGGAGCCAAATACCCAAAAGTGCCGGCGAGTCTGGTGGCCACAGAGTTCTTCCCGTCGGGGGCAAGCTTGGCGAGTCCGAAATCTGAAACCTTGGCTCGGTAGTCGTCGCCGAGAAGTATGTTTGCTGACTTCAGATCCCTGTGGATGAAGCACTCCTTAGCAAAGTTATGGAGGTACTCGATTCCTCTGGCGACATCCAGTGCAATGTTAAGCCGCTTCTTCCACGACAATGGCTCCAGTCCCAGCTGCTTCCAGTGGAAGAGATGCTTGCTCAGAGCCCCCTGAGGCATGTACTCGTACACCAGCAGCCTCTCGTTGTCCTCCACGGAGTAACCCAGGATGGACACCAGGTGGCGGTGGCGAACCTTGGACAGCACGGCGATCTCTGCTTGGAACTCGCCCAAGGCCTCGTTGCCTACCCTTGCCGACTCTGTTCTCTTCACCGCTATCGTCGTCCCATCGTGCAACTCGCCCTTGTAGACCACGCCGAACCCTCCCCGGCCAAGCACGTTCTCCGGGGCGAAGTTTCCCGTGGCAGCTCGAAGAACCTGGATCGATATCACCATGTTCCCTGCCTCGATCACGTGCGTCTCCCCTGTGCTGCTGCTGTTCATGCTGCGGAGCTCACTTGCGGATGCGCTGATGTTGCCATTGCTGGCGATCGCGATCTTGACGAAGTTGTCTCGGTCAGCGGAAGAGTCTCTGGGTTGAATGACAATTCCAGTCGGCGCCTTCGTCTTCCGCTTCTTCCGCCAGAGAAGAAACAGAACGGCCAGGAGGACGATTATGACGACAACAGCAATCGGAACGATAACAAGCAGAGTTTTTGAGCTGGAAGAGGAAGAGGAAGCACCAGAAGAGGCAGGTGATTTCGGTGGGGCATCGCCACCGGGAGGAGTAGAGGTACCCAACATCTTATTCCCATCCAGAACGACTGTCACGCCAGCGGGGAATTGAGGAACGGGAGGTGAGAGGTTGTTCGAAGACAGATCCAACGATCTCAATGATTTCAACCTCGTCAGGCTGGAAGGAATCGTGCCATTGAGATTGTTGCCTCCCAACGCTATCTTAACGAGTGAATCCAATTCCCCAAGCGACGGGCTGAGCGTACCATTCAAATGGAAGTTTGGCAGATTGATGATGGCAATCTTGCCGCTGGCACAGGACACTCCCAACCACGAGCCGGTGCAAGAATCGTTCCCAGACCAAGACCTCGCGAGCCTCATAGGGTAGCCGACGCCGTCGAGGAAACCCAGGAGAGCCGCAACGTCCGGCGGGCAGGCAACTCCCGGTGTAGGATGACAGAACGGGTTGTTAGCGTACGTGAAATCGCTGAAGCTCACCTTGGGGATCGGTCCCATGAACGCGTTGTTGTCGAGGTGCAACGACTGGAGCTGCGGCAAACTCGTCAGGTTGGCAGGGACGAGTCCGACGAGCTGGTTGTTGTTGAGCCACAGCCGGTTCAAGGAGGTCAAGGCGGAAATGGAGCTCGGGATGGTCCCCGAGAGCTGGTTCCCGTGAAGCCACGCATCAGTCAGGAAGGTCATGGAGGCAACAACGCCGAGGGAGCCCGACAACCCCGGCGCCTGCTGGCTGTTCAGCCACAGGATCTGCAACGGCAAGCCGGAATAACTAGCCGGAATCTCACCGGTGAGGCGGTTGTAGGACAGCTTGAGGACGAGCAAGGAACGCATGTTCCCGATGAAATCCGGCAGCGGACCGGCGAGGTTACAGTTCGACAGGGACAGGTTCGTCAGCTGAGCAGAGTTCGCCAAGTCGGCCGGCACCATCCACCCCGTGCTTCGATTCAGAGGGATCCTGTCGAGAGCGAGAACCTGCAAGCTATCGAGTCCGACGAAGAAGTCGAGGGGGATCGTGTCGAACTGGTTGTTGTCGAGGTAGGCGTACTGCAAACTGGCCAACCCCTTGAAAGACGGCAGGGTTCCGGTGAAGTTGTTCCCTTGGAGGCCGATGTTGGCGAGCATGGAGAGCTTGTTGAAGTCCGGAGGGAGCGTGCCGACGAGTCCCAGGTTTTTGGCTTGGATCTGGGTGACGCGAGAGCCGGAGCAGAAGACGTAGGGCCACCGCGGAGGCCCGCACGGGTCTTCGTTGTCGTCGGGCCATTTGAGGAGCTCCGCGTTGGTCATCCCCTTCCGGAACTCATCAAGAATCTTGTAGTCACCAGGGTCTGTGTCGCCGAAGGCGACCGAGACGAAGCCAAGCAGGAGAAATAAAGATTGGATTTTGATCAAAATTCTCAGCGCCATTCCGAGTTCAGCGCGAATGGCGAGTCAAGAACTCCATCAAATCATCTCAGAGAAGAGAAACTGAGAAGAAGATTGCACTCACGGTCAGTAATCTTTACCGATATCAAGTAGATTACAAGAAGAAAACAGCACTCACAAGAAAGATCCTCCAAATCAGAGATTGGCATCCCCTAACGGACAGGTGCAGGCGCTATCTAAACCCCCATGAGAACACAAATTTGGGAGTAAAAAACAGATTTTTATTGCCGATCCAGTTGGTTTCAGGGCCGCCTTTGCATCAAAATCTGATTTTTACGCAAGGTTTGGAACAGTGAACCACCAAATCCCTCCAGGAACAAAGAATTAGGAGATGGAAATAGAAAACTTGAGGGCAATGGGAAATGCTACAGTGAAGCATGAAAAGCTGGCAAAAGGTGGTGAAGGGAGATGTTTCTGCTTTTGATTAATCTTGATTTGTAAGCCATTCAATTTTGCAATCAATGCAGGTATTCTTTTCCTTCTATGATTGCAAGAACCAACAAACGAGATTTTACATTTCCAAAGGAATTCTTAGTTGGCAATTGACTGTTCTCCTCTTTCTCTCTCTCTCTCACCACTGTCATCCAAATGAGGACACAATAATAACAAGGGTTAGTTCACCAAAGAGTCAGAGGTGTTGAAGGTCATCATGCACAATATGAGGTTTCGGAGAGTGAAGATGCAGATGATTTGGGACATGAACACCTCATAGAGTCCATTCCGTTTTTGGGTAACCTGCTCTTTTCTTGGATCTGAAGCAACCGATGCAGCAGAGCTGGAGTCTGTGAGTCTTGCCATTTAAAGAGAACACAAATGGAGAAGTAAATTTGATGTTATCAAGCTCTGATAGTCTTCGTTTCAGAACTCTCAATTCATTTCTCAGGATGATATCATGCTTCTGTTCCAATGCACCAATCATTCAAAGAATAGTATGATTAATCTGTGATCATTTTTATGAAGCAAATGAGGTGAAGAAAAGAAGACTTGTACCAGAAGAGCTTCTTCAACCTCCTGCTTGGCTTCCCAGGGAAAGAACGCTGGTGGTTGGCCGTCAACCACCAGCCTAAAGCGAGCAAGGCGGAGCCCATCGTGGCATTTACCTCTCCTATGTGGCGTGGGACCCTTCTGAGTGAGACAACTAAGCCAGCACCGCTCCTGGGCCAGATCCGGCCGGTTTCTGGGTCGACGCGGACCCGATGGGTTGGTTTGACGCGGTTTGGTCTGGTTTTGGCTTGGCCCAGAGTTGACTCCAAATAGATTCCCTTTTTTGTGTCATGGTGTTGGATTTTAATCGGGCATAGTGTTCTCGTGGGCAAATTCCAGAGAAAAAGCCTATGTTTTTTTGGGCTTTTTCCGGGAAGTGCCTTACATTTTGCTTAATATTCATAATACCTCACGTCATTTATTATTATTATTATTATTATTATTATTATTATTTTCATCTATTGTCGTATGGATCGATCACCGCTCCAATAATAATGTTTCAAGCAATACCAAAAAATATTATAATGCAATAAAAAGCAATGTAAAACACTATAATATAGTGTTCTTACGTTACGTTATAGTGTTTTCAGTAATATTTATTAAATACTATAATATAGTATAAAATATTATACTGTAATATTTTTATATTATATTATAATATTTTTTAGTATTACTGAGTATACTATAATATTATAGTGTAAAAATCATGTAACTGATTCACCCTATCAACCGGTTCATAAGAAATGAGAGGAAAAACAAGAAAAAAAGGATTAGTGGTTGGTTGTGAAATCAATGATATTTTAGATATTAAAAAATATTGTTAGATAATTTTAGAAATAGGGGACAATTATCGGGGAAAAATTAAAAAAAAATATTTTTTTATGAAGAATTCACCATTTTATTTTCTTACATTTTTTATTATAATATTTTTATATTACATTATAATAGTTTTTAGTATTATTGAATATATTATAAAATTATAATAT